GTTTTTTTGAGAGTTATGAAATTTTACCACACACTTATATTATACTTATACAGGCTACTTCTACTTATATAGTAGATAATAGTATCAAAGTGGCTGTAAAAATTGTAGAATGGATGTTAAATAGACATTATATATTTTTGATAAAGGTAAGGTCCTGCAGTTATCTGGTTGAAATTGAGTTCATTACTTGAGAGAACCTCTCGCCTTTGCTGAGAAAAAGATGATGATGAGGAGGAGGATTTTGAAATGAGAGCACCAATGCAGGGTTGGTAGAAGTTGAGTCTCCTGCATTACAGTAAAGCGCCTGTAGATGGCACTCAGACACCAGAAAATCTAAAGTAGGACTAAAACAAAGAGCAGAACTATTCTGACAACATGACATGTGCAACGTACATCCATCCAGAAACACATGGTACAATAACTTTATATCTGGCTCGTTGGTCTAGGGGTATGATTCTCGCTTTGGGTGCGAGAGGTCCCGGGTTCAAATCCCGGACGAGCCCGTGTCTTTTCAATATGAAGAGCAAAACATATAATTAAATGTCAAACCACACATCATCTGCTAAATGTTCACCTATCAACCTTTGCATGCCACAGAAACAGTAGTGAAACTTCACATAATTCATGTACTGCTAAGTTTTATCATTTCAATATAGACTACTGGCCGTCCCAAATGTATCTCTATTGGATTGAGATCTGGTGACTGTGGAGGCCATTGGAGTACAGTGTCCGGACGAGCCCTTAAATTTTCAACATACAAAAGGAAACATATAATTTCATGTAATTAGTTCCTCCCCAACACTGTTTGTAGGAGCGCACCACTGCAGGGTTTGTGTAAGTTGAGTCTCCTGCTGTACAATAAAGAGCCTGTAGATGGCACTCAGACACCAGAACATGGAAAGCAGTGCTTTGTAAATCATAGAAAAGCAGAAATCTTCTGGTAACGTGGCAATGTACAGTGAAGTCTGAAAGTTGTAGAAAAACCTATACTGCATATGGCTCGTTGGTCTAGGGGTATGATTCTCGCTTAGGGTGCGAGAGGTCCCGGGTTCAAATCCCGGACGAGCCCTCAAGTTTTTAAAATTAAAACATGTTCATTAAACAATAATCCACTTAATAATATCAAAATGTTCACTTACGTTCGTTTACCAGCCAAAAAAACTGATTAATAAAGACAAAAATCTGCGAAACGCCAGGTCATAGATCACTGCCATTTCTCAGATGATGTTGCAGTTTTAAAACTTTCATATCTTTGGACATTATTACTTCTACAAGTTGAGTTAAAGTTTAATTTTTACATGTGAATTGATATAATAGATTGGAATTGAGACAGCATATGGCTTTATCGCATGTTTAATCAAAAATATATCTGCAAGTCTTTTAAAAAGTCCTTAGTTACTCACAGCTGGAAATAAGTAATTGAGAAAAGGCCATAGCACCAGTGCATGGAGGGAAAACCTCCAAACACACATTTTAGTCTGTATTTAGACTGCATTGCATTTAGTGAGACAGTTATCTAAGAGAACTATGAAATAAACTACAAACGTCAGTCCCAGTATGACAGGACTTTTGCAGGAGAGCACCACTGCACCCACTGGATGGTAGAAGTTGAAAGTGCTGCAGTACAATAAATCGCCTGTAGATGGCACCCAGACACCAGAAAATCTATAGCAGTACCTTGTAGCTCTGAGAAGAGCATAATGTTCAGTCAACGTGGCATGTACACTGTACAAGTTTGAAACTCATAGTAAAAACTTACGATGAAACGGCTCGTTGGTCTAGGGGTATGATTCTCGCTTAGGGTGCGAGAGGTCCCGGGTTCAAATCCCGGACGAGCCCTTAACTTTTCTATATCAAGAGCAGAACATACAATTAAGCATCAAACCACATAATAGTTTTTTTTTTTTTTTTTACAATTGCTAACAAGCATTTACCTGATTGTAAGTTGTTTTTTTTAAACTCTTAACACAGAAACACACCTACCTCACACAATTAGCCAAATAGTACATTTTCTGCTTTTTTTTTGTTCTTTAAACACCAGCTCTACATTTTACAATAAAAAAAAAAAAATTTCTCTACCTACACAAACTCTATCAAATCCCAGCAAACCTGACTCAAAATCAAATCATTCTGTCAAAACCAAACACTAGCACAGATCAATAAATCATAGCACAACAACTTTCTCAATACAAACAGTCGATGGCATTATTAAAACTGCATTGCTTTTCATGTTCCAGTTCTACATGCATACAGTAGACAATGTGAAATCCATTGTTTTTTGCAATTCAGTTTCTTTTTACTGTAAACCACCCTACATTTTTGGCTTGAGGGTCGAATGTGTGCATTTTCGGCAACAAGCTATGTAAAAGTAAATGAGTCATCTTTACTTTTTAGAATGTACAGTAGAAAAAAAATATAAGTGAATGAATTACAGAAGTAAATGCTTTATTAGCAACATGAAATTACAGCCAGTAATCAACAAATAATCCACCTTTGTGGCTTTTGGTTCAACATGTGAAAAAATACTGTCAATGCTGTCAGAACAGGGATGTCCTGCTCTGATGGCAATCAGTAATTGAGATAAGGCCATAGCAACAGTGCATGGAGGCAAACCTTCCATACACATTTTGGCATTTTAGTCATTTAGACTGCATTGCATTTACTGAGACAGTTATCTAAGAGAACTATGAAATAAATTACATCCATCAGTCCCGATGTAGTCCTGACAAGACTCACTTACACTATTCCATCCCCTGGGATTTTCAATGACATTACATTCCCTTGTGCATATGTATTTTGTAAATATTTTTTTGTGATAATGAATGAATCTCTTGCCTTTGCAGAGAAAAAGACGATGATTTTTGTAAGACAGCACCACTGCAGGGTTTGTATAATTGGAGTCTCCTGTAGTACAATAAAGAGTCTGTAGATGGCACTCAGACACCAGAAAATCTAAAGCAGTGCATTGTAACTAAAAAACATTAAAACAACGTGGAATGTACAGTACATCTGAAAAACACTGTGGTATTGGACATATACAGTGAGGAAAATTAGTATTTGAACACCCTTCTATTTTGCAAGTTCTCCCACTTAGAAATCATGGAGGGGTCTGAAATGGTCATCGTAGGTGCATGTCCACTCTGAGAGACATAATCTAAAAAAAAAAAAAAAAAAAATCCAGATATCACAATGTATGATTTTTTAACTATTTATTTGTATGATACAGCTGCAAATAAGTATTTGAACACCTGAAAAAATCAATGTTAATATTTGGTACAGTAGCCTTTGTTTGCAATTACAGAGGTCAAACGTTTCCTGTAGTTTTTCACCAGGTTTGCACACTGCAGGAGGGATTTTGGCCCACTCCTTCACACAGATCTTCTCTAGATCAGTCAGGTTTCTGGGCTGTCGCTGAGAAACACGGAGTTTGAGTTTAGGTCTGGAGACTGGCTAGGCCACGCCAGAAGCTTGATATGCTTCTTGCAGAGCCACTCCTTGGTTATCCTGGCTGTGTGCTTCGGGTCATTGTCATGTTGGAAGACCCGGCCTCGACCCATCTTCAATGCTCTAACTTGGCGAAGGTGGTTGTTCCCCAAAATCTGGCAATACATGGCCCCGGTCATCCTCTCCTTAATACAGTGCAGTCGCCCTGTCCCATGTGCAGAAAAACACCCCCCAAAGCATGATGCTACCACCCCCATGCTTCACAGTAGGGATGGTGTTCTTGGGATGGTACTCATCATTCTTCTTCCTCCAAACACGGTTAGTGGAATTATGACAAAAAAGTTCTATTTTGGTCTCATCTGACCACATGACTTTCTCCCATGACTCCTCTGGATCATCCAAATGGTCATTGGCAAACTGAAGACGGGCCTTGACATGTGCTGGTTTAAGCAGGGGAACCTTCCGTGCCATGCATGATTTCAAACCATGACGTCTTAGTGTATTACCAACAGTAACCTTGGAAACGTGGTCCCAGCTCTTTTCAGGTCATTGACCAGCTCCTCCCGTGTAGTTCTGGTCTGATTTCTCACCTTTCTTAGGATCATTGAGACCCCACGAGGTGAGATCTTGCATGGAGCCCCAGTCCGAGGGAGGTTGACAGTCATGTTTAGCTTCTTCCATTTTCTAATCATTGCTCCAACAGTGGACCTTTTTTCACCAAGCTGCTTGGCAATTTCCCCGTAGCCCTTTCCAGCCTTGTGGAGGTGTACAATTTTGTCTCTAGTGTCTTTGGACAGCTCTTTGGTCTTGGCCATGTTAGTAGTTGGATTCTTACTGATTGTATGGGGTGGACAGGTGTCTTTATGCAGCTAACGACCTCAAACAGGTGCATCTAATTTAGGATAATAAATGGAGTGGAGGTGGACATTTTGAAGGCAGACTAACAGGTCATAACAGGTATGATTCTCGCTTAGGGTGCGAGAGGTCCCGGGTTCAAATCCCGGACGAGCCCTCAGATTTTCAAGAACATGAGCAAAAAAAAATGTAATTAAACAACAAATCATATAAGTTCACCTTTCGTCGTTAACATGTCAAACATACAGAAACAATAATGCAACCTGACCTCGTAGATTTCTCACATATCTCATGCAATGTTCCTGCTTTTTATAACTGTAAGATATGTTATATAATATGCTTTATTTAGCATCATTGTTGTGTTTTAGCTTCATTCACTGTACATTATACTGCAGCAAATGCTCAAATATACTATAAAATGCTCAACAGTTCATAGTCTGTCGTAGCCTACTGTATATTTATACTGCTATAGTTTAACGTCATACAGCTATAGTCTGTATAGAATTGATATAACGGATTGAAATTGAGCCAACATATCGCATTGTTGCATAGTTGCAAAAAAATATCTGCAACTGTTGTAAATAGTAGTCCTGTTACTCACAGTATCAGCTTGAGACCGGTAATTGAGATAGCAGTCTGAAGTCCCAAAAACGACATCTCCCACTAGTCCATCTATTTCCGCTCCTGCGCACAACCGACAGGCTCCTCCGTTCAGCGTCAGTGCCATGACAACAGGACGATGGCTGCAAGTAAGAGGCTGAGAAATGTGATTTTCGTGTGAACGAGGAGTAACAAACCATCAACTTTTACGGACTGACTCGTGTACGTCAAGGTAAGAAAAAAACGGGTACAAACCTGAACGTGTTTTGTCATCAGCGGAGGATGTTCTGTTCTTGACCTGCTAGCTTGTAAGTATCCAGGTAACTTGGAGAGCTAGTTAATTAGCCCGCTAAGCTAACGTTAATTCAGCCGGCTTGGTGTTAGCTGCAAGTTAACTTACCTTTCAGGATGCATCGAGTTGTAACCGACCTTAGACAGCTCCTAAAGCGTGTGATTCATTTACGTGAGTTTTTTCGTTGCTCAGTGATAAGGGGCGTTTTTACCATGACATGGGTCCTCCAGGGTGTCAAACAATAAACCCACAGGTGTGTGGTCATGTGCTATCAAACCCAAGAGTACACAAAGTTTAATACCAACCAAGTGATTAAACTAGTTCGTTTCTCTTTCTCGTCCTTGAGAGTCAAATCCTCCTTACTCCTAACATTGTGTTGTGTCAGTTTTTTCCCTGAGTGATTTCTGAAATACTTAAAAATGCAAGCTGAAAAGAACAGGTTCAAATGACATCTCATTACAGTTTCATTTAATGTGGTAGAAATCAGTCAAAACACCAAAATGCAATTTAAAAAGAACTGATATTACATGGATTATATTATATTACATGGATATTAGAGGGAGGTAATCTGGTTATTGTGATATTTTTTCTGATATAGGCTTCTGTCACACCCTGGTAGTGTTTGTAACTTGTTTGTTATAGAAAGCAGCAGCTAGAAACGCTGCACTTGTGAAATGTGCTTAATCAATTGACGTGTCACTACCAGTGGAAACTTGTCTTGACATAAAACAGTGTTGTTTAGCAGCAACATCCACCAGAGTCTACAGGGAGATCAGGATGTCTTCCATCACAGGGGACCGACCTTATGTTATATATTATCAAGGCATTGGCCAGATAAATGTAGATAGTTATTTAATTAATTAAAACATTTCTGCCAGCTTGCTTGCAGGAAGCATCGGTTGAGGCAAATTCTGCAGCTAATTGATTTAAACAGGATAGGAAAAGTTGCAAAAAGTGCAGGTGATGTGCAAACAGATTGTGCCAAGGAAAGTCAGTGAAGCACAAAGCGCAGCAAACAGCTCTTTGCCCTTATGAATGCTGCAAATATTTAATAATATTTAATATTTTATTTTGTTTGATATGTTTTAAAGTGCCGTTCTTCTCAGGTTTAATAATAAAAGAAATTTACTGATAGATTTCTGTACGTCCTTTTAAACATTACTCTTTCATGTAATATCTTTGTAGATGAAGGTGTAATATTCCTTTAACAAATGCTCAGGTCTTTGTCGCAGTATGTAGGAGGGATTCCCTCTCTGGATTAGCTGCCTGTTCCACCTGCTCAGCACTTAGCAAGTAGAAAAGCTGCTTGCCCCCAGCAACCCCCTCCCCCCCCTCCCCCCCTCACTTCCTCACAAAGCTCACTCTGCCATTGGCTGCTGGTGTCAGCCTGGTGCACAGAGTACTGAAAGCCTCCTGCTCTGGCGGATAGAGTGGACAGTGGTCCAAGCTGTTACCATGCCATTGTCTCAAGCTCCACCTTTCTGCTCAAACTAATTATCCAGTGTTTTTTCTAGTGACGAGAAGGTTGGTGGTTTGATTCTGTGCCAGGAGGCTAGAAAAATAATGCTTGCCCTTTCATCATCACCCACTGTTGGGGTGCCTCTATATAAAAGGCAATAAATCACCAAACTACTTTAACAGGCTGCTCAGTGAACAGAACACAATACTGTGTGCTGAAAGTACATTCATTGATTGTTTGTCTTAACAATGAACTTGTCTTTTTTTTGATAAATACTCTCTTTCTTTGTGTGTTTCTTTGTTCATCTGTTGGTCGATCAATAGCTTATCTTGCTACACAACTGGGAGGACTATATTCACTTGAAAAATGACACTACAAATTACAAAGAAACAGAGCAACAGGACAACGTGTGTCTATGTCACCTTCAGAAGATGATCTAACCCGTTCCCTCTTTTGTCATTCTCTGTCTGTCCAATCAGAGACAGCATGTCTCTGTTCAAGGCCCGTGATTGGTGGTCGGCAGTGCTTGGCGAGGGGGAGGAGTTTGACCAGGGATGCCTATGTGTCGGAGACGTGGACAACAGTGGCACTGGACATGGTCAGTGTGTAGACAGGAAGTGATGCAGTGTTCAGAATGCAGGACCTCGCCTGAAATGTGCCCATGTTGAGGTGTATACATTATGAGTGCCTCTTATTACACCACTTTCAACCTACTGTGTGTCTGTTGTTTGTAGTTTATGGGGTTGTGCATGCATACAAAATGCATATCATAGCCTATGTTAGCAAGAAAATGACAATTACATATCAAAGATTTTAAGTCATACTGTACTGTACTTTTATTTGCCCTTGTGCTGTGCTTTGTCTTACACCCCCAACCCCCCTTTTCAATCTGAAACTTAACTGCTTTGTCAAACTTACAAACTACTACTTCTTCTTCTTCTGTCTTTATTTAAAAATAGAAATTCTGTAACACTGTTGCTTTGAGCTCATGTTCTCTTAGCAGTGACCGTGTCAGCAACACTCAAAATCAAAGCAGTGACAGTCTGGCTGTTACTCCACACTTAAATCTTCCACACTTGTTATCTTCTGTGATTATAACTTTGTAGACAAGGTGGTGGTGGGCAGCTACATGGGGATGCTGCGAATATTCTCCCCACATGCCGATAAGTCCAGCGAGGGAGTTCCGGTGGAAGCTCAGCTTCTAGAAGTCCAGCTTCAAAATGCCATCATCCAGGTGGAAGTGGGCAAGTTTGTCTCGTAAGTAGACCTACGTAGCTGGGGCAAGGTCACTGAACGGTTAAAGTACATTTGTACTATATATTTTTCCCCTCCTAAATTAAGATGAAATGAAACGTGACATTAAATTTGACAGCATGATTAATAGCACACAGTAAAAGCATTTTTGTGATTGCGATTAGACGAAGTTTACATTTCAGATGTCGAATTGAATATCAGAACATTTTATTCAGATTGTAGTAGATGTTAAATGCTTAGGAATGTTTTTTTGTTTCCATGGACTTTTTATTTAGATACTAATGGGTACTATTTGTTCTACTATTAGTTTCACTCTTAACACCGTGCCACGCTTGATAAATCAAGTCACCACAGATCTGTGCTCTAACACCAGGATCATTGATAGTGTTGCTAATCTTTCTCTGCCCCCTCTTTCTCCCTCTTGGCTGCCTTCCTGTACATGAGCACTTCACCCGTGTTAATGCTTTGTAGGTCAAATTGGCATTAGCCTAATGTCCTCTGCCAGGAAGCAAACTTAAATCACTGTCTCACAAATGCACAGCTCTACCATATTGTTTTAAAGAACTAAAGGCAAAAAGAGTAAAGTAATGTAAAAGCGCTTTGAGTGGTCAAAAAGACTAGAAAGGCGCTATACAAATACGGAGCATTTACCAGAGCCTACAGTGTTTTCTTCAGATTGCTTGTTGGTTTCTAATGTTTGTGATTTGTAGTTAATGCTCGTATTTGAAAGGGCTAGTTGTTAGCAAGTAGGTCAGAGGTCATTGTTGAAGAGGACACAGAGCTGTTGATTGACTTATTGGTATGCTGCAGAAATTGAACCATCGGACTTGGAAATTACAGGCCAGCTACTTTGTGCGCTCTTTTCAATGGCTAGTTAATGCTCAAAGTTTACCAGCCGCTTAATAGGTTACCATTGCTTTTTTGGCTGGTGGGAGAAGTTAATCTACCAGCCTTTAGCATAGGCTGGTTGCTGGTGCTAATTTTGGACTGTGGTCATGACCTTCTGTGAATTATGAGCATTCATACTATAGCTTGTAATATAGCCTTACTCTGAACTACCAGGCAGAAACGCCCATTCATAACTCATCACTGCTTTTTCATTCACAGAAAAACCATCTCTGCTGTTACTTACAACAACATTAACATGTGCTTTTTATCACCCCGCGATGCACGCTAACCTAAAACCACCATGTCAGGAGTTTCTCTCCCTCATCATGATTTACAACGATCTATCAACCACCCAGTGGCCGAAGCATGGTTGTGATTGTAATGTCAGGCTAACCACTGAGTTGCTAGCATAGCTGATCCTGACCTCCTCACAGTACAGGTCGAGCAAAATGTGCAAATGCCTCCAGTAAAAATTACTTATTTTGAAGTGAAGATGATTAAGTGACCACTTGCAGCCAAAAGTATTTGAAAGTGGGGAAGAAGAAAGAACGCGGGATGAAAGGAATGATATGGGATGACAGGATAGTGGTCATACATTACATAGTGGACAATTTTCTCCACTTTATACTTAGCTAAGCACAAAATGTAACACACTGAACCTAGTGACCTTTTCATAAACCCATTTTTGAAACTTTTTAGAACCTGTTTAAGCCTGAAAACATCACTTTAAGTTGTTCTGATCTTTTAGAAAAAAGAGAAATGATAGGATAGATAAATGTATGGCACTGACATCTGTAGTTTTGCAGAATTATCATTAAAGACATCAAGAAAGATACAGGAAACTTTATTCAGAATGATGTTCTTTAACTACATTACATGTAAGTACATACATGATCTACTGTGCAAAGCGAACATTACACAAAACATCAAATGATATCTTACTAAAAATCTACATTATACAGACGTAGAAGCCACGCAAAAACAATAAATCGATGTGCCTTGGTTTGTTATGACAATACACAAAAGTGGCACACAGTGTAAGACTGACAGAAAGACTGACAGAAAGACATTAGCAATTTGTGAAAAGCCTGCCCTATTAATTTCAATGAGGCCATACGTTTACGCACAAGTGCTGTATATAATGGTATATACAGTGGGTACGGAAAGTATTCAGACCCCTTTAAATTTTTCACTCTTTGTTTCATTGCAGCCATTTTCCAAAAATCAAAAAAGTTCATTTTATTTCTCAGTAATGTACACTCAGCACCCCATCTTGACAGAAAAAAGTATTCAGTATAATCAAACACAGCTGGACTCAAATGAAGGTGTAGAACCATCTCAAGGATGATCAGAAGAAATAGACAGCACCTGAGTTAAATATGAGTGTCACGGCAAAGGGTCTGAATACTTGTGACCATGTGATATTTCAGTTTTTCTTTTTTAATAAATTTGCAAAAATGTCTACATTTCTGTTTTTTTCTGTCAAGATGGGGTGCTGAGTGTACATTACTGAGAAATAAAATGAACTTTTTTGATTTTTGGAAAATGGCTGCAATGAAACAAAGAGTGAAAAATTTAAAGGGGTCTGAATACTTTCCGTACCCACTGTATGTATATTTGTCCATTCAAATATGTGCAAGCACGCATTGCTTTTTAATGTGGATATTTCTACTTTTTACCTGGCAATTGTTACAACAGGGAATAAAATTATTGATCTATTTCTCAAAAGTGAGTTTCCGGATGGTATTTTCCCACAGTCCTCTACCACAAAAACACCAATAAAATCATCAGTCAGTCGCAATAAAAATGAGCCCCCAACGACCAGAACCAAAAATACTACAAAGCAGCTTCACCACGTTCAACCCCAACAAATGTATACAGTGTAAGCACGGTTCACTCCTAGGAGAGTGGAACCTTCGACCTTGTTTGCACTATACGGTTTAGAGTTTCCGGTACCTATTTTTTTAACGAGTATGTACCTTAAATTCCCTTTAACTGCCACAGTGTAAACAACAAGGACTGTCTCTACTGCTTCTGAATTTCTGGCAAGTACTTGAAAGAGTGCACACTCATTTCTTCAAGCCAGTCTGAAGTATCTATTAAATTAAATTATTAAAATAAGCACCTTTATCTATTAAACTACACAAGACATTGAACTCATCCTGACAGCTTTACATAAGCTATTGATTTGAACACTCTTTACCTTCTGTTGCCTTACTGTGGGTGCACAGGAACCTTTCAGAAAGTGAGGTTTCTGGGAACAGCTCTGGTGGTTTGCCTCGAAGGCTTCCCACATCATCACGCTGGAAGCAGAATCCAGCTAAATCAGTCTGTTTGGAAGACGTTGTGTTTAGTTACCTGCGGTTTTCGGCGCAGCATTCTTCAGAGGCTGGTGGGCATTTTGGAAGCTGACCTCGACAGAGAAGCACGTTGTAAATATTGTCAGGGCAGACCGAGGTGGGCAGATGGTGAAAGGTTTTGTTTCAGCACTGATTTGAGTGGTTTCCCGAGGAAGAAAGAAAACTTGTGGGATCCAGTTTTTCTCCTCCCTTGTTGTTCTTCTCTCAACAAACACTACAACAGTGGTTGAAATTTAGTAAGACAGAATTTTGTTCTGGGTCCAAAAAGTGGACAGATTCTTTCTCTGTGGGTTTGTGGAAAAGTAAATAAGTGAAAATCCAGGATCAGCATCACTCAGACCATCACCTACACCTCAACCATAACCAATGTTTCAAAAATCAACCAGCTGTTACAGTAATTATTTTAGAAGTATAAGTTAAAATATAAGCGTATGCCACTCTTGAGCTGAGAACATGGGTTCAACCACAGTGGCAGGAAACATCTGCCCTGCTGAGGAGTCTTTGAGTAAGAAAACATTTTGCATGTGGACTTTGGAGAGAGAATCAATTGATATCATGACTTTTGGGGAGGGAAAGAAAGAACAATGCTGCACTGGATGAGCAGTTCATTCAATATTTTCATTGTTATTTTTTTTCTTTATGAGTCTGTTAGTTTAGAACAACATTTGTAATGAAATGTCAATATGAAATTGATTCTATAGCAGACATAAAGTTGTTTCAGTTTCGTTGGTTACCATGTTATTAACCTCTAGTTTTACTGTTTTTAATAATGATTTTGATTGTGGTTGTAATATTACTTTTGTGTAACGTAGCTTATATTCCCTTTTCAGGTGTTCAGAGCTTCTTCATCTGGCTGTTCTTCACCCCAGGAAGTTGTCAGTCTACTCTGTTTCAGGTAACACACAAACATAAAAGTTCTAGTGTGGCTCACATTCTGCTTAGTGCACCTGAAGCTGCTCGGTAGTCCACGTGGATCCATCGTCTTTACTTATGTTTTACAATTTACTTTTTGTCATCATGATTGTTTGTACTGTGATTTTCTGTTGTACATCTATTCTGTATACACGACATCTATTGCATGTGTCCATTCTGGGAGAGGGAGGGATTTCTTTCATTTTTTCCCCCGTTATCGAGGATTGTAAAGCCCCTTGATGCAAATTGTCATTTGTGATATTGGATTATATAAATACACTTGATGGAAAAAGATGCAGCCAAATGCTTTTTCTATTGTATTCTCTGGATCTTCTCTGTTTAAATGAGCATTGAACAACAGTTTTATACAACTTTCACCTTCAAAAAACAGCATATAGACTTTTTTTGTGTGTGTGTGTGTGTTTTAGGCACTGCAGGGAATGTGGAGCACGGCGACCAATATCAGCTGAAGTTGGTTTATGAACACAATCTGCAGAGAACAGCCTGCAACATGACCTATGGCACCTTTGGAGGGGTCACAGGTATGACCGACATTTGAAATGCTTTGCTTGATGGAATTTGCCAGCTGTCTGTTTTTTATTTATTTTTTGGTACGACTGAACATGCTAATCTACATTCATCTCCTAGCACACTGATCTTTGCAACCAGGGTCTAGTACTTGCTCAGATGATTAGAAAATGCCAAAATTATGTACAGGTCAAAAACACATCCCGGCTCTATAATTAAAACTTATCTTCGGCCTTCATTAACAAAAACATCTGGAGTGTTAGCGATGTTGCAGAATATGAAAACATCTTTGAATCACACAGGAATATTTGTGTATAATTACATCTCTTGATGACACCTCTCTGTGACGACAGTGGCATACAGTCAAACTCATACATGCAGATAATTTACAGCAATGAATGAACACTATATCCTCCAGGATCAGTGGCTGGTAGAAGGTACTTTTACCAGCTGTGTGTGTGTGTATGTCCACGCTGTTGTTGTCTGTCTATATTTGTGAGGACCAATTTCAGTTTTAAACCTCAGGAATGAAGACATTTTTCCAAAGTGAGAACAGTTTGGCTGGTCCTCACTAAGTTTAGGGTAAAGGGTTGGGGTTAGGCATTCAGTTGTGATGTTTGAAGTTTGGTTTAGTGCAGTGCCAGGCAATGCATTATGTCAAGGAGAGGCCTCACAAGTGTGTGTGTGTGTGTGTGTGTGTGAACGTGTGTGCATGTGCCTTGGCAAAAGTGGTAATTGGCAGCACTGGACAAATACATAAAACTATAAAAGTCTCTTAAGAAGAGCAAAGGATGGAAAGAGAGAGAGAGGGAGAGGGGTCATGTAGCTGCTCCCTCTTCAGTCAATTGAGCTTTTGGAAAAACCAAGTAGGGGAAAGCCCTTACGTAGTCTGCATCCAAGAAAAACACACACACAGACACACACACGGGGAACCCCCTTTAAAGCTGAGAAAATGGCATTTCCAAATAAAGGCTGTATTGTCAAGGTGTGTGTGTGTGTGTGTGATGAGAGAAATTACCAGACTCTGTGGCCTGGCATGATGAACCCTTCATTCACTCCATGTTTACTGAGTGTGTGTGTGTGTGTGTGTGTGTGTGCGCGCTTGATTGATAGAACAGTGTGGGCACATTAAAACCAATACCTTGGCCTGTGCTGCATGCACGTGTCTAGATCGGACCGTGAACCTGTAATTGTGTCTGTTTCCACGTGCTGTGCTCATAATACCACACTGTACAGCAGGTTTTGGAGATGTCATGCAGGCTCTCATGCCCACTCTCACTCTCCAACAAATACACACACACACACACACACACACACACACACACACACACACACACACACGTATACACTGACACTGTACATTTACCCGTTCATCCACACACGTGATAATCACTCTCACACACATATATATATATATATATATATATATGACAAAAATATTAGTACACTTTCCTTTCCTCTCCTCTCTCTAATTGATGTCATCCTCTCCCGTCCTGCTCTTCCCCGTGACCCCTCTAGATGGTGGTGCAAGCCCTGGCATTGCAGTCACTAAAATGTAATGAATGGGATCCTGTATTGCCATATGCAGGGAAATTCCCACCATTTACCCACCTCAGGAGGGAGGTCAGAGTTCAGCCACAGAACAGCACCCTTAAATCTTGTAGGGACTTCAAGGACTCTCCAGCAATATAGTGATGTTTGTAACCAGCTCCTCAGCTTTAATCACAGAGCTTGGTGCAAGCAAAACCCAGCGTAGTATGTCAGACAGTTAAAACTGTTCTTTTTTAAACCCAAACTTTAGGTTTTAATAATCTATAATGAACTAGACTAAAAAGCAGCATCATAAGAGATAAATAACAAGATAAATAAATGAAAAAGTAGAAATTAGCCTGTAATCACAGCAAAAAGAACTAATAATTTGTGTGCATATATTTTGATATACATTGATGTTGCGTTCAATCACTTTGCTTCATCATCAGTTACCTGCCCTCCTTTTTCTGTTTGTAGACCCCCCTTAAATCTTTACCTTAAACCCAGATAGGTAAATCTATTCAGTATAAAACTAAATATCTTTTTTCCTATTCTATTTAATAATCATTCAAATGTTTTTTTTTTTATATAAACCTCATATTGCAATGTCTTCTTTTTTCTGCTGCAGTTTTTCAGAATTGCAGTGAAACGATCTTTGCTTTCTTCATTCCTTCATTGAACACATTTTATTTGACATCAGCGTAACAGAAGAAGTTGCTTCATGTGTCTCGTCCTTGTTAAGGTCAGATGAGTTGTTTAGGATAGAGCACAGAGTGTTTGAGTTGGGGACACTGCTCCCTGTTTGAGCTTTCCTCTTTGCCTTCTCCTATTTCACACAGTTTACACGAAAATGAGGTGATTTTATGGTTGACTGGTGGACACACACACACACACACACACACTCGTAATGATTTACAGACACATGTAAAAGCGCACATTCATGTACAAACAAATATAGAAAAAGATATATCTCCACAAAGAAAACACACACTAGCACACATGTTTACTGAGTACAAAGTGATGGTCATGCAGCCAAATGTCCGAATTTCTAGTTACGCGCATGTGTGAGTGTATTTCTTCAGCAGACAGTGTGTGTGACAGCACTCAGTTTTCTAATGTTCAAAGTGTGTGTTTGGATTTGGAAAGCGTGTGTGTGTGTGTGTGTGTGAGAGAGAGAGAGAGAATGTTTTTGCAAGTCATGTCTGCTTTTACACGTGTGTGTGTGTGTGTGAGTGTTTTTGCAAGTCGTGTCTGCTTCTACACGTGTGTGTGTGTTTGTGTGTGTGTTTTTGCAAGTCGTGTCTGCTTCTACACGTGTGTGTGTGTGTGTTTTTGCAAGTCGTGTCTGCAAGTCGTGTCTGCTTCTACACGTGTGTGTGTGTTTTTGCAAGTCGTGTCTGCTTCTACACGTGTGTGTGTGTGTGTTTTTGCAAGTCGTGTCTGCAAGTCGTGTCTGCTTCTACACGTGTGTGTGTGTGTTTTTGCAAGTCGTGTCTGCTTCTACACGTGTGTGTGTGTGTGTGTGTGTTTTTGCAAGTCGTGTCTGCTTCTACGTGTGTGTGTGTGTGTGTGGGTCTATAATAGCAGCCATTTAGCAGTGCTGTAGGCGCTGTAATAGCAGCTCTGTACTAATACTGCTCTAATAGCTGGGCTGCCTTTGGGTTTGGGTCACATTCAGGCCACACACACACAAACACACACACACACACACACACAGACTCTTGAGCATGGACTGGCCATTTCAAGCTTTGGTCAGAGGCATATAGATATACATACACACATAATGACACACAGACACATGTACCTACACACTCGCTCTCTGTCTCACTTACACACAGAGGCAAGGCTCTGCCCACTGCAGTGTGCGGCCAGCCTCTGTGCTTTGTTGGCTGCTCTGTGTGCTTGTTCGACATGTCTTATTAATGACACTAATACAGGCCTGTTTCCTCCGCTGTGTCTGAGCGGCGGGGCTCTCATACAGGCCTCTTTGACACGTTATACCTTGGCGTGGGCGTGTGAAATTACATGTGCACAGTTGCTATTATGGCACAGCCTGGCTCTCATTTTCAGTATGTAGCACTTTTCTCATTATTGATGATACAGCGCCGTGTCAGGCTGTCTGAGTGTGTGTTGTTTTGACCCTCTTTGACCGCTGCTTTTCAGGGTGGGAAATGTCCACCACACACCTGACAAAGTGTTTGTCTGGGAGGACGGTCCACTCCTCGGGTATCCTGCTGTTTTTGGAGTCCTGACGAGATGAAGCATATTTGTATTTAGTTCAACCCCCCCCCCCCACACACACACACACACGCACACAAATGAGAAGAATCAGAACTAGGGTACAAAAAGATGAAGAAACAATTAGTCGAATCATAATACACAGCCCTTGTGCTAAGAGATGCTGTCAACACTACAACTTCTTGTGTAGTTCCAGAATTTTCCACATTAAGGACAGTTATACAGGAACAAACAGCAGATACTCGTAACCGCCATTGTGAAATGAAGACAATCGGTATGTTCTCCAAGAAACACTCACTCAACAAAAGTGCTTGGTGCCATAGGCAAACCCAAACACGCACACACAGAAACACACCCTCATGCATGAATGTATATAAATCTTTCTATTATGCAGAATGCAACATTCGCTGTTGGTTCATAATCAAACATTGTCTTATGCACAATTCAGGGCGTGTCTGCGGTGTGAAAGACCTTGTCCTTCAGCTTGCTAACGGCCACCCTGCACTCGCTCATCACTCAAACACACACATACACACGTGTTTACACAGAATAGGTGTGTAGGAGTGTGCGGCTTTTCTGTCTAAATCCTTGGTGATAGATGTCAAGTGTGTATATGAGTGAGTGTATGTGTGTTGCGCTGTAGGTGGCTGTCTCCCTGACCTCTAGTTGATGGCGGTGTGAGTTTTAATAGCGCGTTGAGGCCTAATTATAGTTCTCTGGTCACACAGCCCCACTGCTTTATGGCCGTGTGTGTTGCTGTGTTTGTGTGTGTGTGTGTTAGGGCTTAGTAAGTCCTCCATCAGGCCTTGCATAACAAATACGCTCATGGACACATTCATACCCAGAGCCAGGTGTGTGTGTGAGTGGAGGTGTTAATGGAGATATCAGATTCAGCCAGAGGGAGAAACACACCTCACAGCACAACACGACATCATGGCTGAAATGAAACAGAAGCCCGTGCATGTCTTTCAGGATCATTGGTGCTTGTATTTAAACACTCAAAAGTTTGAAACAGCAGAGTCTGAACAGTCATAAAACTGAGTAAGTAACCAAGAAATGCAATGCCTACAATGCATTGATAGGAGTTCTGCTGTTAGATGTTTTATTACAGAGAATGTATGCAACCAATTACCAAAAAAGTCATACAGTCTATCATCGTGTTACGGTATAGATGGAATAATAGTGAACATAAATGTTTCCCCTTTTTGCGGGGGACCTCTTGGAACTCCGTAAAGGACCCCTGGGGATTCCCGGACCCCACTTTGAGAACCACTCCAAAGGCATTTGTGGTGTCACACACAAAAAGTGAGTTGTGTGGAGAACGGAAACGGAGGGCTTGGGAAAGACATTCGTCTACTTTCACACCTCCACACACCTGGCCAGTCGCTGCGTGAAGTGGGAGTGATTGTCAGATGATTGTATTTAAAATCAACCCAGATTCATATCAGACTATTACTTTTCAAGCTGTGATTTAAGATAATTTTTATTACATAATAATCTCTTCAAAAGCTGGTGTTTCTTTAATCGATGATTTAAACAATCAATTCCCAAAATAGTTGTCAATCAAACTCTTTGTTGATTGAAAACTAAGTGTTTAAGCAGTAAATAAGGCATTGGGAGTGTACATGTGCTACTGTTTTTGCCTGTATCCCTAAAGAAGCAGTTGCGTACTCAAACAAAAAGTAAAAAACATGTACTTTGATGCTTTTTGCTTAAAAAATTAATGTTCCTCTGTAGGTGCAAGACCCCAGCAACAAGGACATTTTTATGGAAATTCCATATTGTCCATAATTTATATCTTAGATACCAACAGTATGTGATTGCTTCCTAAATTATTTTGGTCTTTATGGGATAAGAGTGCCTGAATTGTCCCTTTTGTCACCCCCATCAGGTCACCACTCCCTGTGTATCCAGTCCATGGATGGCATGCTGATGTTCTTCGAGCAGGACAGCTACTCTTTCGGCAGGTTCTTACCTGGTTTTCTTCTGCCCGGCCCGCTGGTCTACAACCCCAGAACAGACAGCTTCCTCACCGTTTCCTCTGCACGCCAGCTGGAGAGCTACAAGTAGGTTTTTTTTTTTTTTTAGAAAGCCTCCCTAATCTTTAAATACAATCGATAATCTGTCATGCTCACTCATTAATTAAATCATGGGATGCACAGCGAGTAAAAAGTTTGTTTTAATATTCATTAAGTGGTAGCATTTTTGGTTCAACATGAGAAAGGACAAATACTCTATTACTATTTTATCGTACTTAAACAGCAATACAACATCCTTACATGTTACAATGACATTTATTATAAGTTATATGTTTTAGGGACATTTCACGTTTTATTCCAAAATGTGATAAACTTTACCTACTTTTTCTCAATTCTTGCTTAAATGAAAGCATATTCTGCTTGTAAAGTTATAAGTCATGAAAACATGATGTTTTTTGTTAGTATTTCAGATAAATTTAGTCAACAGAAATTTCCCTAACTGAATGCACATCACTTCACAAGTGCTAGTCTGTAATCTGTAGCAGCTATGAAGTCATTTGAGGTAACCCAGTGTTATCCACCTTCTTCAGTATCAGCTGCTGATGGTTAGTGAGCGGCAATGACTATCGCTTTACCATCTTACTGCTCTAACTGCAGAGCTCATCTGGATGGACCAAAACAGATACACACAGGCACAGTTTGATCGGAAAGTACCTCACTTTAATGTAAGCACACGCACACTTCCCATTTCCCTCTGGCTGAGGCAGGGAGAGCTTTTAGAAGTCTTACAGACTGTGTAGGCGTACGGTATGCGTGTGTGTAATTTTCTCTCCCAGCTGTTTGTTATCTGGATGCCCCCCACCAGTATCAAGAGATTCTCCAGACTAGAAACTGACTTCACTACTCTCCCTGGACACACACACAGGCACAAATGCAGCCCTGTGATGCACATTCTGTAGGAAATTACATAGAGCAGATACTGAGTACCTTTACATACACTGCATTACTTATAGAAACAAGCTTGTTATTTCCATTACAATATGTTGCGTATACACCGTGAGCTAACGTGATATCTCTGGCTTAAATGCATGCTTTTAAAAACTAACTCATTACTGCACCGTTGTCTTCACTTTGGAAATAAATGATCTGAGTTAGTTTGTCTGGTGACTAGAACCTACTGGTAAACATTCAGTAGAAATGTAATTCATTGAAATGAAAACTGCTCTAGTGCATTAGTGTCTTTGTCTGGCTGAAACACATGAATGGCTGTATGAAAGTAATACTTGCTGAAACAGTTAGGTGTTCTGGCAGGATTGAGAACTACTGCTCTCTGCGATACTTAAAATAGCCCTGAAGAACACGCTTGTTGAGCACACACAATTATAGCGAACAATAGCTTTAATGCCCACACACACCGCTAACTTTGGTGACAATGAAGTTCCTGTAGTTGCTTCACAATAAAAGTATTTAATGTAAAACAAGAGCAACAGGAAGTGACTTTAACAGTAATATATACAGCTCTAGGAAAGCATTAACATTAAACTGAAATGCTTTTTGATCAATTTCTAATTGATGGGTTGATGGCCCCTGTGTGATAATGATAAGAAAGGAAATCAAAAAAAATTAACCTTCTTTAGTATTCTGTTTGAGATATTTCTTACAACCCTCTTAAGGATCAGTACACACAAATGACAAAATAAACATTCTTACTTACTTCTTGTGGTATCTAGCCGTGCTAGAGATTCACATCTTAAAAGAAATCTTGAGGAGAGAGACTTTTATACCGCCGGGCGCTGATGTGTTATGGCTTTACCGACTGTTATATACAGTTTATTCCATATCAAATGACGGGGTCAGGGTTTCACTGAATGTTATACATTTAATATCAGATGACTGGTCAAACTGTTCTGCCTCCCTCAGTTTATTTAGCCTGTTGGACTGTCTCCTGCCCCGATGAATGAGAGCCTGATTTGGTTGCTGTGTGTGTGTGTGTGTGTGTTGGCGTCTGCTTTGAGATTTTAGTTTGTGTTTATCCATGACACAGAGCGAGCGTATGCGTGTAGCGTGTGTTTGTATAAAGTGTGTGTGTGTGTGTGTGTGTGTGCACGCTCTGTGTATGTATATGCTCATATGATGTATATGTTGAAGGTAAATGAGTGTTTGTTTGTGGAGTTTTTCAAAGAGATCCTCTTTCACATAAATGAGAACACTGTTTCCTCAACCACAGTGTCCTACAATCTACATGGTGACTGATACCGCCTACGCACACACACACACACACACACACACACACACTGCTGCACACACAGTCAAGGCCCTACCAAAACTTTGTCCGTGTGTGTGTGAGAGAGTGCACTGTGTTCACCGCAAACACTTATAAATGGCAAACAAAAAAATTCAATATTCCCAGGTGTATGTCACTGCCAGCGGTGTGTGGGTGTTTGTGTGTGTGTGCGTGTCTTGTTCTCACTCCTCATTTGTTAGGCATGCAGGTGAATAATCACATTTTTGTGGTTTTTCAATGTTTCTCTTGTACAGACAGTGCTTTGTGTGTTTTTTGCTTTCATAAAACTTAAATCAACTACCTGTGGATGGAAGTGGACACACACATGCATGTACAGTTTTAATTCATTAATGCTAGTAAGACATCTAAGTGTAGGGTGGAATAGAAATATCAAAACAGAGTGAAATAATACTGTTAGTTTATGGTGTTATTTTAGTATTATTAGGTTGAATTTAATCTGTTCTCTCAGGCAGAAGTCGGCCTGTCGATCCAGCGAGTGTTGCTTTAAAAGCATAAAACCGCTGACATGTTAAATATATTTTTTAGTCCATTTTCTTCCCCAGGAAATGGTCACGGTGTGATGAAAAGGTTTCTCTACGGGCAGTCATCCATAAAGCAGCTCGTTAGGCTGCTCACCGTTTCTAATAGAAGCTCAGCGGGTACGGCCTCTGTACGGATGAGTTCAAAACTATAAATCGTGTGTTGTATTGCAAAAATCAAAGTTTAGAACACTTCATTTGCTGTTTTATACACAGTGTTATGAGGAATTAGCGTCTCACTTTTAGGGTCGCATATAGTCAGCTTTATCCAGGTATAAGTATATAAATGTTATTCAGGCAATGAACAATTTATTCTTCTATTCCAAAAAAATTTAATAATTAAATAGAAAATAAACAAAGTGGTGGAAGTCATAGTCTTTTAAAGTACACTTTTTCTTTTACTTTACCATAAAATATGATCAGTAATATGGTGTTTGGGAGTCCCCTTTGATGTATACAGTACTAAAGATGTGTCCCAATTCCATACTACATACTAATTTTAAACAGGTTTCCAGTTTGGGTGCTCACACTGAATGCATGAACAACTAATGATACTCAAACACGACAACAGTCTGCTGCCACTCTAGCAGCTCTGTGAGATGTCAGCATGCTAACATGCTCATAATGGCAATGCTAATGTGCTGATGTTTAGCAGGTAATGTTTACCATGTTATCATCTTAATTTAATGTGTCAGTATGTCAATATTTGCTTATTAGCACACAAAATACAGCTGAGACTGTTAGGCATGTCATTAATTTTGCGGGTATTTGGTCTGGCAAATAAACATTTTGACCTGATGATGGACCTAGATGAAATGTCAAGTTTCTGTAACAAATTTTCATGGCCATCCATCTAATTGCTGTTAAGACAATTCACTCTAAGCCAAAAATGTCAACCAGCTGGTGGCGCTAGAGGAAAAGTCACAAGATCACCAAAGTCATTAGGATTCATCCTCTAGGGACCATGAATGTCTTTACAAAATGTCATGCCAATCCATCCAATAATTGTCGGGAGACATTTCAGTCTGAAATAAATTGGTGGACCAACCAACAGACAAAATGACCTTGACTTTCCCAGAGCCGCATGCGTAGCTAAAAAGTCTAGGTATACACAACACCTTACGTTTGAGTGTGCTGTTGTACACTGTGTACACACATTATATGTATATATATTGTAAACTTTCCAATAGTTATAGTAATAACATGATCAGGTAACACTTCACACAAGTGCAGAAGACAAGAGTAGAATTTAAAACTTGAGAATCATTGTCATACTGAATTCTTCAGGTAACATGTGCTGTTTTGTGGTGTCAGTTTGTCTAATTACCAAGCACCAATCACCCAAGTTTTGTGTAAACTACTAAACAAAAACATGCTAAAGGAGAAATCTGTGTCTCCTGATGTAAAGATGGCTGGTATAATTCGCAAGCCATGCCCAAAATGTGGCAGCCATATTGGATTATGGTCGTTAGGATTTTAGGTAGATTTCAGACCTGCCAGCTTTGATTAACAGCAGGTTTGTGGTCCACATATGTAATACTGACTGAGAAAACTGAGTGGATAAATCAGCAGTTATGTAGTGTTTGGGCTGCGGTTCGGAGTCAGGCTGGGTCGGGTTGTGAGCTCTCTGTTCATCCAGGTGTTAGAAGAGAAGGATAGATTCCTGCCAAGCTGCTTCCACTGCCAGCTTCTTACTGGAAAACTGCTGATGCTGAAGATGCCAAAATCAACTGACCACAGATCAGTCTGACCACTTTATCCTCAGCTATTTGCCAGCAGCTCACTGATTAAAACTGATAGACCGTAGTTCCGGGGAATAGCAGCAGCTTGTCGACTGACCTGACAGAAGCTGTAAAAAAGAGGGAGAATTTAAGACGCTAGCTGTGGATTTTGTTAATATTGAACATGTTATACAGTGTTTGATTTAATTTAAATGTGTATAAATGATATATACTGGGGTTTCTGCCCTGGCCTTGTGGATGAAATTTCTCTCAGGAAAAAAATGGTGTTGTTGTGGTTATGGGCTAGTGGTAAAAGAAGTAAAATTTGTAACCAGAGAGTCACTAATTTGAGTTTGTGGAATATCTGATGGGAATGCTGAAGTAAGACAGGCTCCCTGCACTTTGCAAAGTATGCTTGAGCAAAACATTTCACTTCTTGCAACACCAGCAGCCAATACTGACCCAATGATTCAAAACAGAAGTAACTAATTGTGTGTTTTACTTGTCTTAAAGGTCACCTAAAGGCAACAAAGTTATAATGTTGAAAAAGGCGGTCAGTTCTAAAGAATAAAAAATGAAATTTCAAGAATTCCCTAATATTTTTTGTATCATCTGAATCATCGATTGTTTTTAAAAAAATATATTTGAATCCTTGCAGTGATACACTTTGAATATAGTTTTGATACTTTTACATAACTTGTTGTGTGTTTGCAAAAGCAGCTCAAAACAGCAACTTACATATGAAACAGAGTGCTGTTTCAGCTACACTGACAGGAGATTGAATGTAATCCACAGACACTCATTGTGTTTGTGTAAGCAGCTATCTTTGTCTCTCTGACTCCCAGATATGAGACTCTGGCCGTGGCTACAGAGGCAGAGAGTCGACACGATCCTGATCTGCCCCTCAAGACCGGAGGCAAGAGGCTGATGGTGAGTCCTAAACACACCAAATACCAGACATAAACTTAATACTGACAATGTGTGTATGCTAAGATTCTCTGGTCGTAAATGCAGCTTCACTCAGACATATGTGGAGTTTTGTTTTCCCCCAGTCAAATGTAAACAACAGAGAATATAATCCATATTTTGGAAAAATGTTCCTGGGAGTGGAAACCATTCTTGGCAACGCTTACAGGAGCAATGTTTTTTGGGTTGAGCATGTTAAAGGTCCGACAAACATTAGTGCGCTTTCATATAGAGGGCGCAAACCCATCCTAACAGTCTCGGTGAAGCACTGCTTAAGGCACTAACATTTAGCCCTCGTGTCACCTGTTAAGACTACTGTGCCATTAACAAATGCTTTTTCAAAATATTTTGATAGTCGCTTTTGAGAAATGTATGTCAGTTGGCAGCTAGTTCATATTCAGATTTATTGTCCTTTATCTATATACAAGTATACAGTTCCTCTGGGGCCAAGACATTACATGTGTCACTCTGAATATATGTCATGCTTGTTCCTTTGAAATGGAAGAAATGAGGGAGAGAGCTGTAACTGTGTGTGTGTGTGTGTGTCTCTCCTCCAGCCTGACTGGACATTTATCCTGGGAGAACAGGCCCTGGATCTCTCTGTGCCCTCGTTCTCCCACTACTCCTCCTCCATATTCGTTCTGGGTGAGAGGAACCTCTACTGTCTCCGTGACACTGGCCAGATCCGCTTCATGAAGAAGCTGGAGTTCAACCCCAGCTGCTTCCTGCCCTACACTTCAGGTAAACCAGGACACTGAATCTTTAGCATAGGCTTAGGCATAAGTAGTGCAGCAAGAAAAACCTAACTATAAAGGGATATTTCACCTTTACAGTCCTCATGTTCTTCCTGTCCTACAAGAACTCCTACCTGTTCCGGTTAAGGACTAAGGACGTTAACTGAATATGTAGGAATAAACCTATAGTACACAGAGCAATTGAAAGGGGTAGGGAACACAGGTTATAGAGTTTTAAAGATGCTTTAAATCCAAATTAGATTAGAATCTTAAAGGCAGTGGTTAGTTTAGAGACAGCATCACTATTCACAGGGGTCAAAGTTGACAGGGCATGTTAAATAATTCTCAAGTACAGTGCTCACATTTCTTAGCCCTTAGCATTTGGCAGCTAACAGAGCAAGAGAACTTTCTGAAGGGTTTGGATGCATGACATTGACTCACAGAGAAATGAGCACAGACACTGCAGGGAAAGTGTCAGATTTAGCCAAGCGCTGGTAAAGCTCTGATGTGTTCAACCTGGAGTAAAGAAAAGGGCAGCAACACAAAACTCAGCATGCATCGGTGCACCTGCCACAACCAAACTATTGAAAATAAGTGAACAAATACACAACAACGTACCCAAACAAAGTATTCTTTGCAGTGGCCCAATGCCACATGACTGGCTCTGCAGGAAGCTGCTTTTGGCAGAACATGATGGAATAACTGGAGTAGCTCTGCTGCATGCATTAAAACACAGACTGAACACACTGTAGTATATAAACATATGGTCCAAGATGAATGGATATGTATGGATGGTATGTAACATAATACATACAGAAAACTCATATGATATGTTGTTGCTGTCTAGTGAATATGTGCATCTCCATGGTAATTTTTCAATTGACATTTTGGTTACCTTCATGTACAAAACGGTTTTGGAGGAAACTGGTTCATAGCAATTAATTTAGCCATTATGAATATGCGGGATAATGAAATCATAGACATTACTCTGCGTAATCTCACATGTATGTGTTTGTGTGTGTCTGCCGTATAGTAACACGACACAGCTTCAGACCTGTAATAGGTTCCAGACTTGAACACCTCTCCCTGTCTTCACCTCTGATAGGAATGGAGAGGGAGAGTGAGACTGATTATTTATAATGTGATTGTGCAGCTGTCTAGTAATTCTTTCCTGTTGAAAAGACATCACATCTGAGGTGAGAAACACTGGCTACTGCTGGGCACAATGGACAATTTTTGGTTTTGTGTGTGTTGCAATTATCCCACTGTGCCAACAGATCTTGAAATGGTCTCACGTTTACACACTTCTCATCCTGTTAGAGAAGGAGAGAAAGGAGGCAGGAAACAGAACAAACTCATCAGTTGTATCAGTCTTGCTGCTCTGCTTGATGTTAAAATAATTTGCCCTGATTAACATAAAAGCCATCTGCATGCTGAAACGTATTACTTCTATCTGGGACATTTCATGTCTGCGTTTGTGCTTTCTTTATGACCAATGTGTTTCTCTCCAGTCGAAGTGATTTTGTTCAATTCTGAAAAGTCTTTGATTATAGTCTTGATTAGACAAGGGTGCCTATAACTGCAGTATACCCAGTTGTACCCTAATCACTCTTTGTTTCTGTCCAGTTTACACTGGCAGCCAGGGACAAAAGCTTTGAAGTTGTTTATTTTTTGATACAGAAGAAAAATGGTATAAAAATTCTCTGCAGCCTGATTCTTATCACCACAAGCAAAATTAATCACCCAGATATGGTTGGACCTCCAGAATGGTCCTTAAATACAGTAGAAAAAAAGTTCTGTGTACACCCTTTTGAGCATGAAGCAATAAACAACCTTTTTATTAGCATTCTTTATAGCAACAAAAATGTTCTGTCTGGTTCGGCAACAATGTACTATAGAACCATTTTTTCTGAGAGTATTACACTTGATCTGAAATACACTAGAGAGCTGAATGATGGAAAGAGTAAATAAAAAAAGGATGTGAATAAAAATAGACTGGAGGGAGGATTCAGAAGGGAGAATTGATGGAGGTATTGTAAGACTGGCCAAGAGCTTTCTGCTGATATCTGTTTTCAATTTTAGAATTAAAATATCTCAGCATTCAAAGTGCCCTTCACTATCTGTTCCAGACATTATTTAGATTATATAAATTGCTCTTGGAATTCAGCTATAAATTCAATACATGATGTGCCAGCGAACAAAAGTAGCTTTTATTGGGACATGATTCCTGTCAGCAATCAAAACGGCATAAAGATTCCCACATGGTTGGAAGGCGACAGCCCCCAGGATCACACCGCTGCCGCAGCTGCAGTCTTCTTTGTCCATGTTTGGGCTTTGGTTTATTGTTAACAGGCCAACATTTAGTGACACTGTGGCTGTCAGAGCTGCCACCTGCCATTCAGTAAAAAATAGAATATTTTATGGTGCAATTTCATTTAGTGGATCACCACAGAACCCTCACAGTTGAAAGTGTAGTGCAGAAGAGAAGGATAGACAACAGTGGTCTCTTGATTGTTTCCTAAAGCTTTCCTTCTGGCCTTCAGCCTCACAGCTGCCTCTGCTGGACCACTGCCCTCACTCTCCCTGTCTGCCTTCCTCTGTCGATTTCTTTCTTTCTCAAATAACTTTTATTGGCTTGACTGCTCATCAGAAACGCTCTAGTTAAGCTCCCACATTCAGTCCACAATGAGATACTAAATCAATCGGTTTGAAATAAATTTATGTGATCCCCACTTCTAGAAACATGACAAATGGGTGACAGATGAATATGGATTAGGGCAAGATGTCTCACTGGTTGATTTGATGAGTATGAAAGGAGAAAAGGAGGAGAAGGTTGGGAAAAAGGCAGAAAGACAGGAGGAGTGGAAAGCAAGAGTGAAACTAGGGAAAGCTGGTCGAAAAATAAAGCGAGAGAGGATACAAGGTTATGAATAAAGAGGAACACTGAAATCGGAGAGGAAGAGCAGAAAGGTGAGGAAGGAACAAGGAGTAAACGTAAATGAAGTAAAGGAGTTTGGGGAGAGACGAGGAGAAGGTAGAGCGGTCAAAAGAAAGGAGAAAGAAAAGAAGGGAATGTGAAGATACGAGCTGGAGATTGAAGACTTAGAGAGGAAAGCAGCTGATGTAGCTCGCCTCGGAACGTAGATTGGACCTTTATAATTAGGTTGAAATTATAATGCTGATGCTGAGATGGAAGGTGTGTGTTTGCTTTGATGTGGCACCAACACACACTCTGTCATTTTGACCCCTGCACTGTACCACCCTGCTGACCGCTGTTACTATATTATAACTTGTGTATTCAACTGTGTGAGTGAGGCGTGTTTGTTTTGCGTGTGGCCGTCACCTCAGATCTCTCTAGGTGGTAACTGCACCATTGGTGGGATTAACTGGACATTTGTGTGTGTGTATGTGTGTGAAACATAAGTAGTAAAACACAAGTAGTATTTATATTTAATGTTTCAAGCCATGAGTCACATACGAAAGTGTATATGTAACTTTAGTTATACATTATATAAAAGCTGACCTTGTCTTAAAATGAAAGATCTAAATGGCAAAATTCTATATACAAACCAGATGTTGGATGTAAAGAGATTTTTTTTTTTTTTCTTACAGGAGAGTACAAGTTGCACTCGTCTTAAAGGGCAATACCACCCACCACAGGAATTTGTTATTTCTGTGCACCACTTTTTTCCAAAACCAAAAATCGGAGACAAAACCCTTGAATTTGTGCTGCTATGAAACTGAGGCTGGGTTTCTAGCCATAAGACATTAAGATGAATCATCACAGCAAAGTGAAGTTCATAATGTAATGCTTCTAACGGGTATGACAAATATATAAAACCTCATTTGGTTATTTTGTTATCAATCAAATGGGATATGGGCCAGTACTGTCATACAAAGGGTTTACCCACAACCAGTACATACTATTCAAAAGCTTGCTCAAACCTTGTACCTGGAAATAATAATATCCTGCAACATATACAATTACACATGCATTTGTGTATTACAGTTGTAAGTGAAAGGAAATGAAGAAAAGAAGGGGGAAACTTTTGCTTGTCTGTAACAGAGCTTGATTTTTGCATCCTCAGTTAGCTTAATGTAAAAATGTGATTAGGACAATTATTTTAACAAGAACACAGTTTTTCCTATCATGAACACCTGGTGTAAATAGGCTCTGTTCTTCTGTCTTAACAATTTTCTTTTTCTGATCTCGTTTAGTAACGGATGGCACGACCAACCTGTTGCTTGGTAACCACACCAACATGCTGCTGGTGTACCAGGATGTGACTCTGAAGTGGGCGGCCCAGCTCTCCTTTGTGCCTGTGGCCGTTCGTGTTACCAACTTCCCGTGAGTACACCCTCCAACATCTGATGTAAGAGTTTCCTCTGAGATAAATTTGAGAACCCACTGAGAGGTACTGACAGTTGGAACCACAGTGGAAGCAAGACAGTTTCTTCAGGAAGCCCTTCATAAAGGACTCATTCCTATAGCCTTAAGGACGGATATGCTAATATTTTGAAATTATGTATTCTATCTAATAGACATAGAACAAGATAACAAAAAACAACTTCACAAATGGTCCTTGTGATTTGTGGTTCTATGATGGGGAACATTAAAGGTTCAGTGTGTAATATTTTGGAGGATCTACTGACTATACTGATATGCTGACTGTGGTGTATAAAGACCTTACATAATTAACGATAATTTTTTTTTATTATCTTAGAACAGGGGTTCTTAACCTTTTTGAGGTTGAAAATATTTCGCGATAAAAAAATTCAACTCTGGGCAGAAAAGTGCCGACCTTATTCGCAACAGTCTGTCCCTGGCTCATCCTAAAATAAGCCTTAAACAGACCATCATTAAGACAAAGCCCCTGTACCAACTGGTAGGCTACTACCAGCGGTGCCCACACGGATCTCCCTTTCCCTGTCTCCGGCATGTTTGTAGGCTACACCTCTCACGCTCAAACAGTGCCAGTACAGGTGCCTACGTTTGTCATTTTTTTATAACAGATGTTTTTAACAACAAAAGACACAGACCTGTGAGTTGTGATCATGTTTCTGCCAACATGACCGTTATTACTTAGCAGCAAACCAAAAATTGCAGATCGCTGGCGCTATAATCTTTGATTAGACTGACGGACAGCTGATTCAGTGGTTGCCTAGCAACATGATAAAAAGGCAGCGCTTTGCTCTTTTCTTAATTCAACCCAAAAAAGGCATTGCTGTAGGGCCTCGCGTTTTTGAACCTGCAAAGCACTTTCTCTCTTATCGGGGCCTGATTGTTCTTGGATTAAACCGTGCAAAATATTTACAGTGTCCACCCATAAGTGATTCCATTCACAACTATAGTCCGTCTAGTTATTTTTAAGTTTTGTTTTTTTTTTTTCTTCTATTTTTGTGGCTGTGGCTGGGTGGGTGGGTACTGTCCTTTAGTATCCTTTGGGCTCTGGGTAGGCACCTCACCTCACCGATATCACTGATGTTGGGGAGATGGGTACCAATGATCTTCTGAGCAGTTTTAATCACCCGCTGCAGAGCCCTCCGGTCCTGGGCCGCGCACATCCAATGCCAGTTTGTGATGTTTCCAGTCAGAATGCTTTCCATTGCTCCTCTGTAAAAGCTGACAAGAACATGGCATGGGAATTTGGCCTTCTTAAGCTTCCTCAAGAAATAAAGTCGTTCTTGAGCTTTCTTCACCAGCGTGGAGATGTGAGACGACCATGTCAGGTTCTCTGTGATGCTGATTCCCAGGAACCTGAAGCTGTTCACCTGCTCCACCTCAGCTCCACTGATGTAGACAGGAGTGTGTCTTTATCTCCTTCTTCCTAAAATCAATGATCAGCTCCTTCTTAAGTCTTTATTGGGAAAAGAGTAATAAAGTGTATATGGGACATAAAGAAGAATACAGAACTTTGATTTGTGCAACATCACGTACTATATATATATGTGTGTGTGTGTGTGTGTGTGTGTGTACATATTTTGCAAACATGTAGATTGTAATATGGTTAGTTTGCTGTCCATGTAGAGTGAACTAGATATCTGCGTGTTGTGTATATGCTCTGATAATGCTAATCCTACAATTCTTTACACACTGAAGTCAGAAGAACGACTTCACAACTCATGAAATGGGACCATCCGAGGAGCATGTGAATGCACCATGAGCCACTGGTTGCAATTCACAACCCTCACCCCTAGATGCCATTAAAACAAACACACTGAACCTTTAAGGATAACTTTAATACAAAACTTTGTAATGGGAATTGACAGTGGGAAATACTTGTAGAATAACAACATCTCAGTTATTAAGTGTTATATTTTAAACTAGTAAAATGTCACTCAAAGAGACATTATTACACTACACACAATCCTTGTTGGCATATTATGTCAGTACAAAGTTTGTACCCCTAATTAATAGCTGCTGGTAACATTAGCAATCCTTCACCAGCACTGGCAGAGATACAATGTCGTACATGAATAAGAGATTTATTCCTATTCTGTGGCAGTAATGACACACATGGCCCCAACGATAAGTGTGCTATATTTAGAGCAGAAGCAAGATATGTAGGGCTGAGGAACAGTAACGTCAAGTTTAACCACAATAAACAACCTGGCTGTTTTCCCAAAGACACACGCATTTACACACATTAAATATTTTATCTTACAGGAAACAACAAACCACACAACTCTGGAGGAAGCTTGTAGACATCCTGTTACTGGATGGACTGTGTCTCATTTTCTGATACAATCACACACACATATATGCTTGCATTTACACAACACAGGTAAATACACAGCAGGTGTTTGTAGTGTTTATCAGCTTGTGAAATCCAGTGTGTGACTTTTGACAGGAAATGATCCGGCAATGTCTTCCAGCTGGCCAATCGGAGCCGAGCAGGGAGTGGCCAGCTGTAGCCAATCATTTGTCTTTTTCCAAACAACTCCAATCACACAGCAATTTGATACAATTACAAATGGGAAAACACAAACATGTTTGAAAAATGATGTGGTTTCGGGGTGTGTGTGTGTGTGTGTGTGTTTTTAGATGCATGAGATAGTGCGTGTCTGGGTAGTTGTTTGGTTTAGTTTGAGGCTGTGTTGTCTTAAAGCACTTGATAGTCATCGTCTTGTTCAGTGTGTCGGTGGTACACTGCTGTATAGAGTGTGGGAGAGGAACACACACACTAATACACACAAAACAAACACACTCTAACAGGTCACTGTGAATATCTGTGATATATAGCAGTGCTCCGGGAGTTTGTTTTTGGGAGACGGTATTGAATTTTATTACTTCAGGCTCTATTTCTAAACTGTCCTCACCAACTACATTCCAAATTTGGAGCCAATCAGAAACAAACCTGTGGAGTTTCAGAACCTGACATGCTTAAATTGATGTTTAAGAAAAGAAAAAGATTTGAAAGGACCCCAAGGAAAAGTTGACCCATAGAAACAGAAAGCTAACACCGGCAGCAGAATGATGCGACAACAATTAAAAACAATATTGTGCACGTCACAGTTCACACTCTTATCTCATTGTGCTAGACTGATAGCTGTATCAGATTATTCTCATTCAAAGCGAAAAATGTGTGATCACTTATTCTTCGTCCCAAACTTCCACCAAATGTCACTGAACTCTGTAGCATAACCTCCCTGTAGAAGGTGATGACAATTATTGTTTTATCTATGTTCAGGTTTTAGTATCCAGTACACCAGTAGTACCCATAGGGCCATGGCTAAGCTTTTCAGAAAGAAGGTGATGATTGACTCTGGTCTAGTCACTAAGCTTTTAGATGGATGTGCAGGCTTAAGTGTGGTTGTCTTTTATGTAGGCTCCCTACTTGTGTTGCTCTGGTAATATATGTTACATCCTGTAGTTTTTATTGTTACATAATGCTATTCCTGTATCTACCGGTAACATCTCTAACAGCAGCTGCTCTGCGTTTCCTCGCCTCTTTTTGTCTGCTCATATTTATGTTCAACAATCTTTCTCTAACAAGTGGTGAGAACTCATTTTTAGTGAGGCTGAGGTAGGGTTTCCCTCTTAAAGCGAAAGTGAGATTGTTTTTATGAATCCATGTTTCTATAGCGTTTGGTCATGTCTGTATAAATGTGAGACTATGACTCCATTTACACTATGCATCTTTAGCGGATTGGGTAGATATCTGATCTCAAAGAAGTATTCAAGACGGACTGAATTCAGATTGCTTCTTAAAGCAACTCTGGAGGAGCATTCTAGCCAGATGTTGAAAAGGGAAAAGCATCCATCTCTCCAAGACACATGCGTTATATTTACTCCTCCCATAGTGTAACTATGTCTGTATGCAGTCTGTGGAAATATCCCTATCTTTATGTATTTGCACTCTCCTACTTTGTACTGCAACTGCTGCACAACAATTTCCCTCTGGATAAATGATCCTATCTTATCCGCTCACTGTCTGATTCATGGTATGTCTGCTTTGTCCTTGTGATTGCAGCAGCTAAACTTACACTAAAATGATACTGAATTAGCCGCTGTTCTCGATCTCATTAAAACAACAAGAAAAAAAGGCTCCTGTGATTTCAACACATATGATGAAATACAAGGTGTGTCCAGCTGCTGTGGCATTTATCTGATCCCTTGTCAGTTCAACCACTGAATGATCTGTATGGTTGTGGGAGCCCTTGAAGAAAATGTGTCTTGTTCGTAGTTCATTCATGTATTTGTGTTAGCTTATGGATAGTTCGAAGCTAACACTGTAACCAATATTGATTGATGTTAGATTTGTAATCTGGCCAACAGAGATGCATACCGGTAAGTGTCTCATCTGGATTGTGTCCGGATACGAGACCCTTGGAATGGCGTGTGTGCGTGTGTGTGTGTGTGTGTGTGTGTGTGTGTGAGAGAGAGAGAGAGTAAGTGTTTCTGCAGCAATTTAAGTGAAAGTTTTATTCTCCCTCAGACACCCTCCTGTGCAGGTGTGGAGCCAGCCGCTGCACTAGACCTGAACCCCTGGCGTGTGTGTGGGTGTGCGTGTGGGTGTGCGTGTGCGCTATTGCCTCAGTGGACTGGAACTACAACACATCTGCAACCAGTTAAAACACACACACACACACACACACACACACACACACACACACACACACACACACACACACACACACACACACACAGAGGGAGGGAGAGTTAAAATCCATTATTCCATCACTCAGCATATCCTCATACTCTCCCTCTTTCTATCTCCTTCTGTTTTCATCAAAGCATTAAATGAACTGTAGAGCAACAAACTTCTAAAGCTGAACTACAGAAGGTATTTTAGACCCAGGTTCCTAACAGATGGCAAAGGGCACACTAGGTAAAATAACCAGTTTTATATTCTGTCAAGTTAACTCCTCTCCTCTCTTCAGGGAGTTAAAAGGAGTCGTGGTCAGTCTGAGTTCTGACGGTAACCTCCTGTGCTCCTACATGGGTACGGACCCCTCCTTCTTCTCCACGCCCAAGGTGGATGCCCGAGAGGCTGACTATGAGCAGGTGGATGCTGAGATGAAGAAGTTACAGAAGTTCATCAGAGAGGCCACCAGGACTCAGGGTAGGAGAGTGCTCGTAGTTTAATACAGATTATGTGACGGTTAGATTAAACATATTACATCAGAGCACTAGAGTCTAATAAAAGTCACTAGAACTGCAAAGACCATGAATTGAAACTCCTGAAAGATGAAGATGCTCCAAGGTAGTCTTCAGATACAACCACTAGTTGGATATAATGCGGGATGCCAATTAAATCTTAACTGGTTGAAAGTATTAGCTAAAACAGACTGGTGGCCACAAGATTTTACATTTTACAAGTTTTAAATCATTTGTTGTTTACTTAATTTACATTTTTTTTGTGAATTAATTATCCAGAATACGGACAAATGGCCAAACTGATGTCATATAGTTGCTTGCCTACATTTACTCATTTAGCTGACGCTTATCCAAAGTGACTGAAAATTGCTGTATATGTCAGAGGTCGCACACCTCTGGAGCAAAAAAAACTGATGTTTGCAGACATAACAAGTTTCAAGCTATCTTACGGTGTTTGTTTACAAAATATTCCTCATTTTGAGAATCTAATGACGTGTATTTGTGAAATCCCTACTGAGGAACAACATTGGTTTAATGTTTTCGGATAAAACTTGTCTGTTGTGGCTCCAGCCCCCCGTGACCCTGTACACAAGATAAACATTTGACGATGTCCTCTGTTGTCATTTTAGACATCCTGCCTAAAACGGACAGTGAGGAGGACCTGATTATTACAGCTGCTGTGTCCTCCAGCATGGACAGCCAATCGGTAAACACACATACAAGACTCACAGAGACACGTGCACACATTTACAACCATAAGCACACACACTGATGGACTTGTCATTCTCTTTCTCTCTGTTTACAGCAAGCTCTAATCCAAGATATTGATGGTCTGCCCGTCTCTTCAGTAACCATTCAAGTGAGCAGTGGCCCGCACATTGATCAGTCATGTTCTTTTCTCTTCCCCTTGTCTCATCATGGCCAATTTTTTTTCTTTTTCTCTAAATTTTCTCTCTCACACATCTTAACCTGTATTTCCCTCCCCATCCACGTCTCACTCCTATAATCTGTGTTTCTCTCTCTCTCCAGGTGAAGGTGAAGGCCTGTTGTGTTGTGCAGTCCTCTAAGCTGACCGTCAGCATTCAGCCTCCTCTGGCCGTCACTCAGGATCAGTTTGTTCTGGAGCCCATGGGTCAGTCCAAAGCAGCTTTTTTGTCTGTGTGTGTGCTTGTATATTTTTTAAAATTTGTTTCACTTTGTCCTCGTTATTGTACACTCTACTGTATTTATAAGCCAACAATACAGACGCCCAGATTATGCACCATTTTAACTATCAAAGTGGAGATGGACACACCCTAAATGCACTTGCGCCATGCACTTTTAGACCATGCACTATAGATCAGCATGTAAATGCACTAATCAGTGTGCAACAGTCAGTACTGTATGCAATAATCTTGAATTGCTCTGGTGAACTAGGAAACAATTTTAGTTACTACATTAGAAACACATAATAGAGTAAACTGATTAAAAGTTCACTCTAATAAAAAAACAAATATTACTCACTAACCTTTTTAACTGAGACTGGAAGAGAAGGTATAGAAAGAATAAACAAATACATCAAATCTGACAACCAAAACTTTATTTTATGACATTACTTAGGATAAAAGAAACGGCAGACATTTACTGTATTAAATGACATTGTCAAAAGAATACTAAACTAACTTTTTACAACATTTTGTCTGCTCCTCTCCTCTCCTCCATCACATCCTCCTCCACAGTCCGAAAACAGACAATACACTAGGGAGTGACTGAGTGAGAGGTGTGTGTGTTGCTGTGTATTTGTTCAGCCCATATCAGCCACTGTGTGTTCTGCCTTCTAGCTGTTTGGTTAGACTTGGTCACCTCGATGGCGGTAACTTTTATCTGAATCACCCAGACACTGCGTACACACAACCTCCTAACCCCAGACACTGATATCTGTTGTCGGTTCATTAAAAGATCACCCATCTTGTAACACAGCATTTGCCCTTCGCTTTGAGTCAGTTTCCTCTGTTTAACTCTTCCCACCTTTTGTGTGCATGTTTTTCAATTTACGGAGTGTGTAATGTAAACCAGTAGGGGAAGGCCTTTACCGAGGCTCCTTATGGTACTGTGAGAACACCCCTGTGGCCCCATTGGGAGTTGAACCTCTAACCCTGGCGGTGTCTGTGCCTCGCTCTGATTGTTGGTCTACATATGGAGTGGGACTCACACCTACAGTTTCTGTGGTCTGAACCCCAAGTGGAAAAGTTTCCTTTGTAGCATTTTTTGTATTTGGCTCGTTTTGGCTTAAGCTGCCAAATTATAAGCAAACCGCAACTTGGAAAGAAAAATTAAGTGAGTCATAAGTAGCAAGAGTCTTTCTTAGACAGATTTTCTGAGAACTATCCGGACAAACAGGTCCAGTTCTTTAAACTTACTGTTCTTAACTCTCTCTTCTGTTTTGAGTTGAACATATTACTAGTCAGTCCAGACATTTGTTCTAGTTTTGTTATGCTCTGCTTTCCAAGCTGCCAGATGTTGACATTTGTCTTTGTGTTACCCAGAATCCACTGCATTTTGTTGCCTTTTTGTAGGTATTTCCTGACTTAAGTGCACGTCCACCAGATTTCAAATGCCTTTGTTCTTACTTATCAAAACGCAAAAAAACAGAGGGTGTTTTCAAACTTGGAATAGTCCAGGAAATCGGACTTGGGTCCTCCTTAAAATGATGGTCATGTTTTGCGATGAGCAACTGCAGTGAGTCAGAATGGTCCACAACCCTCGAGGGTGAATAAAGTTAAGGTTGAAATCATCATAACATCCATCATTCTTTACCAGCAGTCATTTCACCTTCGTGGTCCAAATGAAATCTTTCACATCTGATACAACAACACTACAATAAGCCTTACCTTGTCGCTTTTCCCCCAACCACCTGTTCCGAGGAGAGGAGAAGCAGTCATTCGTTTTGTCTTGTCATTACTTTAAAATATTATTTAATTTCAATTTTTTTTCTTCTTCATTTTAGGCATTGAGTTGTTGTTTTCATCTATAGCGACTTCCAGTAATTGCATCAGTAGAATACATTTAAATTCCCTTTTTTATTTCCTACAATAGGATATTTCTCTCAACAGTATTGGAATGTTATTTCAGGACCACCTGGTTGGTTGGAATTTACAATTTACCATTTAGTACAAACAAAATACTGTCAAATAATCTTGTAATTCTCACTATGGGGGTGTAAATCCCACTAGTTATTATTCAGAATAAGGTCATATGTCAAATGAAATGCTACACAATGATGTCGGCATAAATTCTTTGAAGCTGTGTACACAGGCACAGAAGCTGGACCAACACCAGAAAAACGACATCCCCCCCCCCAACACTGCTCCTGACATTTGCTCAAACCATCATCCATCAAAGAGGAGTAGTCACTACTTTTTTGAGAGGGACCAGTATGGATAGCGAATTTATGATTTCAAGATGTGTGCAGCATTCTCAGGCGGCTGGAACACCATCCATTTATTGTGAGCCCTGAATCAAACTGACCACTGCTTTCCCATGATTCATGATGCATCCATTCTTAAATGTAATGCATTTTACCACAGTGCATTCTTATCTGTACGTTTATTGTACACGACCTCTACAAATGTTAATTCAAACATATTTCCTTTTTTTCCAAACATGTTATAATGTTGGAATTGTAAATTGTTATTACATGCAGAACCCTTATTTGCATTATTTATTAATATTCTGGAGGAAGCCAATTTGCCCAAATAAAGTCCACATGTAACCAGTTTGGTAATTGGCTTTTTGCATAATAAACGTGTGCTTGATAAAGGCTTGAGAGAAGGAAAGTAATGCTCGGCAGGGCAGCCGATCACTGCACCCAATTATGCAGCATTGTGTTCAGTTCCAGCCAAAGTCTGACTATAAAACGGAAACAACGTGGTCTCCATAAGTCTAAATAAGTTGGTTTCCATCGATGAACAGTTTACTGTTTGTGAAATTAAGACTATTTGGAGATAGAGAATAGAGAATTTTTTTTATCTCAGTTTCCAATGTGAAGCTAAATGAACAAGGCTAATCAATCGTAAACATTTATCACTCTTACAATATTATATGTTCTTAAACAGTTAGTTAACCAACCGATTCAACATATGACTAAAGTAACACAAGTGCATGGACTTGAATGACTCGTTTCTCATTTTCTCCCACCCACCACTGATCCATGCAACATAGACTAAGTTAATAGAAACTTGGTTCGGGAAGTAGTTTGCATTAGCAGTGATAGCTTCCTTGTCTAAACGGACAATGAAAGCGTGCCAACAAAAACTCAAACTTAATCAAAAGTAAAATCATTGAAGAACGTGCCTAAAAAGGATAACAAATGGGCTTCTGGATTCTGCGTTCGGGTGGTTTGGTTCTGCAGAGGTTTTCTTTTTGGCAGTAGCTCTCAAAGTTTCACTGTTTATATGGAAGATCAGAGGCTGTGACTCACTCCACCGTCACGTTTACACCACTAAAGAGACCATTTGTTTACATGAGTTTAGGTAGCGGTCAAATGGGTTATATTCAGAAGCCTCTTAGGCGCACACACACACACACACACACACGCACAGTTACAGATATACACACCCAAGTTCTATAAATACTCTCATGTACATATCCATGGACACATAACATAGCATAGCATAAACAAATGCATGTGTCACCCCAATGTACTGTGTGTGTGTGTGTGTGTGTGTGTGTTTTATGTCATGCTCTTTTCTCTTAGCTTAACACAGAAATCTGGCGCTGGCTTCCACGTGTCAATCAACAGCTCTCTCCTGCGAAACATGAGAGCAGCTGAACGCAAACACAAACGCTTTCTGTCTTTTTCTTTCTTTCTCCCCACTCTCTTCTCCTCCTTACCTCCCTAAGTGACCCCTCACTGGCCTTCTTTGGCCCAGAATGGCCCGGCTCAGCCCTTGAGCTGCAGGACCACCGTTGCTGACCCTTAGTAGTCACATTTGGCCCCGAACGGAGTGTTTCACATCCGTTAGTCCTGGAAAATTAGGACGAAATAAATTGATGGAGGCTCTGTGAGTTTTAATGAATGCTGGGACTTGGCTCAGAGGAGCTGGATCCCAGTCACACAGTCAGAGTTTACTCTGTGATTTTGTCCAGAAAATCGCACCCTGCTTTATGGATTGCAGGGGAAGTGGCTGAGCTTTAGATGGAATGCTGCCTGGTATAAACTGTATATAAGTACAGTAGTTAGTACATGTAAATCGTGCACCATTTAAAAGTCAAAAATGACTTCTATAACCAGGAAATGTTCAAAAATTCATTTGAATGTTTCTGGAATCGACAGCCACATAGTTCTGGTATCATTTATGACTGTTTCTGGGTAGAAAAACAACCAGAGCTGTAGATGAGATTAAGAATGGGGACGTTATCTTTATGTGCCACATCCAGAACAATTGCCATGAAAATGCAGACAAATGTGGATGAGACTGATGCATCAGGTTGTTGTAAGTAAACTTATAACAACTCTTAAATTGATTGGCACTCTCACTCTAACCCTGTACACTTTGCCAATTGTTGTTTGAAGTGGGTCTGAATGTTGGACTGAAGGAAAGTTTATATGTACAGCACATTTCAACAACCAGGCAATTCAAAGTGCTTTGCTCAAGCATTAAAACTACCTTGGGTAATACAAGGTAGTTTTAATACATTTAAATACAGTTAAACAAGAGTTCAATAGAAAATAAAAACAAGATAAAACAGAACAGTAAAAGTTACAGTGTAGTGTAAGATATTAATTAAAAGCCTTAAAATGTATTTAATAAAGGCAGCAGCAAAAAGAAAATTCTTCAGCCTCGATATAAAAAAAAACAAAAAGTTTTTCTGTTTTTTTTTGTTCCAGATATATGGAGCATAGAAACTGAACGCTGCTTCTCCATGTTTAGTTTTGACTCTGGGGACAGAGGGCAGACCTGTATGAATGACACCATAAATGTATATTGTCCCTAAATCATATTCAGTGCTTTATTAACAAGCAGTTATATTTTAAAATCAATTCAGACTGGCAGTGTAAAGACCTCACAACTGGAGTGATGCGACCCACTTTTTTGGTCTTAGCGAGGACTGGAGCAGCAGCGTTCTGAATCAGCTGCAGCTGTCTGTTAG